GTGAGTGAGTGTGGGGTGGTGGGAACCCCTGTGTGTGAGTGAGTGTGGGGTGGCGGGAACCCCTGTGTGGGAGTGTGGGGTGGTGGGAACCCCTGTGTGGGAGTGAGTGTGGGGTGATGGGAACCTTCGTGTGAGTGAGTGTGGGGTGGTGGGAATCCTCGTTTGTGTGGGTGGGGTGGTGGGAAGCCCTGTGTGTGTGAGTGTGGGGTGGTGGGAACCCCTGTGTGAGTGAGTGTGGGGTGGCGGGAACCCCTGTGTGAGTGAGTGTTGGGTGGTGGGAACCCCTGTGTGAGTGTGGGGTGGTGGGAAGCCCTGTGTGTGAGTGAGTGTGGGGTGGTGGGAACCCTTGTGTGAGTGAGTGTGGGGTGGCGGGAAGCCCTGTGTGAGTGAGTGTGGGGTGGTGGGAACCCCTGTGTGTGTGAGTGTGGGGTGGTGGGAACCCCTGTGTGTGTGAGTGTGGGGTGGTGGCAACCCCTGTGTGTGAGTGAGTGTGGGGTGGTGGGAAGCCCTGTGTGAGTGTGGGATGGTGGGAATCCTCGTGTGTGTGGGTGGGGTAGTGGGAGCCCCTATGTGTATGAGTGTGGGGTGGTGGGAACCCCTGTGTGAGTGAGTGTGGGGTGGTGGGAACCCTTGTGTGATTGAGTGTGGGGTGGCGGGAACCCCTGTGTGAGTGAGTGTGGGGTGGTGGAAACCCGTGTGTGAGTGAGTGTGGGGTGATGAGAACCCTCATGTGAGTGAGTGTGGGGTGGTGGGAATCCTCGTGTGTGTGGGTGTGGTGGTGGGAACCCCTGTGTGTGTGTGGGTGGGGTGGTGGGAACCCTTGTGTGTGAGTGAGTGTGGGGTGGTGTCCTGGGCGCAGGCCCACAGCAGAGGTTGACCAGACATTGAAGGAAGGACAACCCTCTGGGCTCCTGAGTGGCTTGGAGCAGGCCCTGAGGCTGAGGCAGCCTGTCACTGTCAGCTTGTTCAACAGACACATTAGTAGCAATCCCCCACTGCATCTGATTAACACACCTGCCCGCGTGTCCCAAGTGCACACCCCTGCACCAGCACACTGCCTGCGTGTCCCGAATGCATACCCCTGCACCAGCACAC